ATTTTATCATATGTACACCCTAACCCTAACCCTAATTTAACTAGGAAATTCCAAATCCACTTAAATTCCATTCCCACCTACAACATGAATTAGATCTTGAGAGTGAATTATCTGGAGATCTGATGCAATACATTGTAGCAGATTTGATTTATCTTTCCAGTCCATCTGTGCTATAGGTTGCAGATTTTCACGAATACTACCTTCCGGAGCATACATTAGAAACTTTATCTTTTTATATACCAAAACATTTTCAAAAAGTTGGATCTCTGATGCCGATATCACAGTATGCTTTTAACTTATTATTATTAGAATGAAATATATTTTAATTAACATAAATATAAATAATAAATAAATTATATTCAGCAAAATTAATAAAAATATTAAAAATTATTTCTTTTATAAATTCTTCATGGAAATTATTTGAATTATGAAGCAATTTAAGCGCAACGTGGTTGTTTACATTATGACTTTTATCATACAATATTGCAAAATATACAGTTGCAAATCCGCCTTTACCTATCCTCAAAGTCATCATAAGAAATCCAAGATAGCTGATACTCATTCTCGATCAATAAATTTTTCAAATCATCATCAATTTCTGAATTATGCATCCATTCATTTGTAGCTATTAATTATTTATAAAATTTATCAATTTTCGATTTTGAAGAAATAAATAACAATATAACAATATAGTTTATAACCAATTATACAGTATAATACCTAACGTTAATTCTTCCTCCCTAATTGAAAATTTAAATATATGAATTTATTAAATTAATTATAAGTTATCGTATAAATTATCGTAAAAGTTATCGTATGGTGGATAAAAAAAATATTCGTACTATCACGTCGATTTTTTCACTTACACGATAACGTTATTATCGTCCGATAGTTGTTATTATCGTATGCATCTGATCAGTTAAATAACGTATACGTTTGTCTTTTTAGTGATGTCAGTTATGGTTATCGGTAATCAATTATATATACGTAATTTAGTGGTCGAATATTAAAATCGGGTGTAATTGCTCATTTCTTATTTGAATTTATTTAGCTCATAAATATTAAATAGTAGTTATTTATTAATAAAAGTATTAAAAATATTGCTATTCATCCTTATTAAATTTTTTATTCATAATTACTATATCCTGTCGTGAATAAGCACCCCTTATATATATTATTTTTCATTAGTAAACGCCCACTTGTATAAAAAGTAAATAAATAAAATATGTTCTAAATTCAGATTTTGTACTAAGCAAACATAACCTATTCTTAAGTGAAGTTGTTTTTCAAACTAAGTACTTTCTAACGGTGGTAAGAACATAAAATTTGGCGGTAGATAGATCTCTGAATTTTGTACATTATATAGCCAAACATTATATAACCAAAAATTATATAACCAAAAATTACAAAATTCGAAAGCCATTGCTAGCGATCCATGGGTCAAATTTGATGATATTACCACAATTAGAAAGCTCTTTATCTGGAGAATAACTTAAGAACACATGTTAAGTTTACTTACTACAAAATTCGTGTTCTGATTATGTTTTTAAATCTTACTGTGAATAAGCACCCTTACTATAATCAAAGAGAATGCTTATTCACATAAGGATATGGTATTTAATCTGTGAGCATAATGATCATTTGGTAATAAAAATACAGCCAAAATCAAAGATTGAAGTTGAGGAATAACTACGTGTAGTGGCTACATGCAATATGAAGCATGATCGACAATATCAAGGTAGAAGTCGGAGCGAAAGTGTACGTATTTCGTATTCTAAATAGATTTAAGAGTAATATGTAATATCAGCAGTTAAGTTAAGTGTTACACACATTATGCCTCTCAATATAACGAAGATCTGGAATATTTATTTCGGTACAATTAATTCACAGATAAGCTTATTTTATGAAAAATTATTTTAAGACAATTCATTTTACAGACAGGTTTATCTCATCGATAGTTCCTTATATAAAGGAGTATAAAAAAGTAGATACGTTCTTGCAGCCTTTTATTATCTAAGTTCTTTCAGTGTAATTTACGAGATTCTTTTTTTTTCAACAAGCACTATCTGGTCTGATATTTTCGCAAATTACACATTTAATTTGCATAATTACATCGGCAAAAACCTTCCTTATGTTATTGTTCTAAACTTTCTAGAAAATCTTCTACATTCCAGACTTGATCTTGATTAAAAACTGCAGAATAAAATTCACTTTTTTCTTCGCCCAAATTATCAAATATACTGATAAATTCTGGATCACGGTGCAACATTTCATTCCGGAAAAACTTTTGCAGCATTCAAATCTCCTCATTTGTAATATTTGTCATAGGATTATCCGTAATCCATACTGGGTAAGTACACAAGCATTCCATTGGAAATGCACCAGAACATTCCCAGTCGATGACACCAGTGATTTCAGTATCATCAACTAAAATATTTGATGAATCAAAGTCACCATGAGTCAACACGAATTTCATCCGGAAAGTACTTCGGCACCAACTTGCATAATTTTTCATACATTGGAATTAAGCGATTTTGTTGATCTTGTGACTTGAAGGTGTGGCAATAAAGGATCTGGTTTCGGATAGCAGCCAAAACATATTCTTTTGTCGTGTTGAAAGGTCCTCAGTCCATTGATAGAGCTGCTCTTCCATTAACAAAGAAGTCAATTTAACTACCTGACCAATTTTAAATTGATCATTTGATTTGCCATCAAAAAAAAAATACTCCCTATCTTTGAGAACGTAAGTTTCTTAAGAGCCAATTGAATGTCAATAACTTTTGAAAGAATTATTTTTTTCTTTTCCACGACGAAATCGCTGCATACATTACATAAACGACGACCAGGTAAACACTCCATTAAGATATATTCTGCACCCACTGGATTGTCGATTGAACTAGTCCAATAATAGATTTTAGGAACAGGAATGTTCGTATTTAAGCGAACATATTCCATAACTGCAACCTCGCTCTCCGTCTTCCAACGTGGATATTCAGGAAATGCTACTCTTCCAATATATTCTATTCCATTTTCCATTGTTAAGATCTACACCTTATGAAAACCACCTTCGCTAAGCTTTTGTACAGAAATACATTGCATGTGAAACACTTTGGATGCAGATTCTTGCAAGGCCTCTAAATTAATATCTAGTTCGACAGGTACAGAAATACATTGCATGTGAAACACTTTGGATGCAGATTCTTGCAAGGCCTCTAAATTAATATCTAGTTCGACAGAATCATCAGAATCATTTTCTTCGAAATCATTTTTATGGCTTTGAATAACAGGAAGGTTGCCTTTTCCTGTCATTTCAATAATGTTACGTACAATTTAGGCGTTAGACAGAGTTAACATAAAATGCTTAGCGTTATATATCTTTCAGGTGATATTGTCCAAAATATGGAAATGATTCCATATGGTTATACAATTGTCAAAGAAATTTTTTTTATACGACGTTTTACAATACTTTTCCGGGGAGTTCGGGGTAACTCAGTGTTATTTAAAAAATTTATGCGGTGTATACAACGTGTATACTCTAGATACAATTGTTCAGTCTAGCTAAGCTTCAAAATAAGTATATACATAATAATAATTAGACATGAAATACATATCGGCGGATCTGCATCATCTGATAAATAGAAAAACCTATCTATCATAATTTTGGCCAAATTTGCAGATCATTTGGCCAGATCTAAAACAAAACAAATTCAAATTATCAGCAAATTTTACCAAAATTATGACTGATGAGTTTTCTATTTATCAGATGATGCAGATCCGCCGATATGAAGAACTTTTCTTAGTATTAATCTTTATCTGTATATCAATCGGATTTAGCAAATAAAATATGATTTGGAATTAATTTTAATTTTGAAGTAACAAACATAAATCTGATGCATGGTATCTATATCTTACAAAATAATTTTTTAGACGTAGCTTATTTATCGCACGAAAAATGCATGGAAAATTCACAATGATCGAAAATTAAGGCCAAAATTATTCTAATGAAATCACAACCGCACATTAAGTGAAAAATATTTCTAGGCTAATTTTACCATTGAACAGATCCAAATCCAAAAATTTTCATTTGTGGAGTTAAATAATTAAAAAATAAATCCGCCCAAAATTATATATAATGCTGTAATGTGGCCAAAGTTTTGTCGATCACAGCCATTAACCATTCAAAATCAAGAATCTGCCACGTGGCTAGTAATGATAATTGTGCTTTAATACAATAATCGTAAAGATCATAATATCCAGAAACTATAACAATTACAATAAAAAGGTATTTATTAATCATTATTATTAAAATAAAATCCAACGTTTATTAATAATTTTTTTCGAATAAAAAATTTAAAAAAATATTTCAATCTTAAAATAATATTATGAAAAAGTCACAATATTTGTCTAAGGTTTAAGGGATAACTCTTTGCTAATTTTAAATAGATTCACGTTCAATAATAGTTTTAGTTAAAATTTTGAAAACGATAATAATACAGTAACCATTAGGGCTATATATCTGTCCAGGAATCATTATAGTATACGGTATAAAACAATGAGTGAAAAACCTGTATTTATATATAAATAGATTTCTGGAAGTAAATCGCCGGGGATACTATATCTCAAAAACCTACTAGCTAACTTACGTCAAAGGTGCTAATTAAAATGTTCAGAACCTCCAAAAATCTTATGGTGACTATAAAATTTGAACCTTTATATCTAACCCTCACCTTAACTTAAAATTACACCCTAACCCTAAAAACATAAGAGCGGTTACGTTATTATCTAAGCCATAGCATAGTTTTGATGTACTTACGTACGTATCAGGTATGTACGTACGTATCTCAGTGACCACATTACCTGGACACAATTTATGGATTCATGCACGTTCGCACGTACGTACGTACTACGTACTAAATATATAAGTATAGATAAACTAATACATGTTGAAATTATGTAAAGCATTCCCATCATGTGAGTATTAATAATCAGGAGACTTTTTAAAATAAAGCTTTAAGCAAAAACAACAAGAATTTGACCAAATTTTTTAAATAAATTCTACGTACTAACTTGTAAAATTAACAAATTTGGGTTAAGTTTCCTTTGGATTAACTTTTTTTTTAAAAATATTTTTTTCTGGGTTTCGTCTTTATTACTGTAATCTACCCTATATGATAATTTTGTAAAAATGAATAAATGTTAATGGAAGCTGGTATGATGGTGTGATGGCAAGGAGCTTTAGGCGTGCGTGCGTACGTATGTGCTTATGTACGTACATATGTCCTTTCTTATTAATCTGAATGCATGAAGTTCTTAAAGAAACTGTGTTTACTTTCATAGATGATGCAATGT